AGGTGCGCTGTTGCTGAGACATGGGGAGGATAGATGAATCAGATTGGATCCATGCCTTTGAGCAGCTTCTAATACAATCAGGGAAATCGGCAATAGCTAGTCCATCAGTGTGCTATTAGAGTTTGTCTGTTGAGAGTATGGTGGGAGTCAGGCTCAGAGGAGGGAGTTCTGATCCTGTGGGGAGTCAGGAAAGACTGCTTGGAGGAAAAGGCCTCTGACTCACACAATAAACATGAAGCATGCATGGAAAGCAAGGAACATCTTCCTTCCTTTCCTTCCTGCAGGAAACCAGGGAGCATCTTCGCCTCGCTGGGAGCATCTGGGAAGCAGAGAGAGAAACATCTGTGTTCCCTGCCCTCCTGTCGAAGTGCAGGAACTCAGAGGTGTCACTTCTCTTATTAGTCCAGCTGTGAGCATTTTTTAGACCAGCTGTCCTCTCATCCCTGAACCCCTGAGGAATGAGGCACAGAGCCTCCAAACAATATCATTAAAATGCTTCCCAGGAAGAGACTGAAGCCCAGCAGGTGAGAAGCTGACAGCAGCACTGAGCCATGCCGGTGGAGACAGAGGCTGGGGCTGAGGCTGAGGCGGGAAGTGCTTCCTATCTGGCTCTGCACCCACTGGTGAACCAACCTTGAACATGTCCCCTCACCTCTGGGCCTTGGTTTTCTCACCTATAAAATGAAGATTGGCCTAGATGACCTCGGATGATATTTGTTCCCCTGACATTCCATGTTTTTAAAAGGAAACTATGAAATGGCTACACTACCCCCTTGCTAAGACTTTGGGGACCATTTTTTTCTGATAGCATATAGAAGAAAATGGAATGGAGGCAATTCCCCAGGTAATTCTGGCTCCCCCAAAACCTCTTTATATGCAAAATCTAACAGTTGCAAGCTCAGTTTGATCGGGAGCCTAGACTATACCTGACTAGCTAATTCACTTCACTTCCTCTTCCTAAATATAGCCCTTGTGTTGATATTTCTAAGAAATATGTGATCATGGGCAAGTCATTTAACCTTTCCAAGTCTCTCCTTCTTAAAATGAAGACATTCAACTAAATTGTCTTTTTGCGGCCCCTTTGGCTCTCATTTTCTTTGCTCCTGTTTATTCAAGGCTTTGATCCTCGTGCAGCTTACTTATCTCCAGGAACAAGTGAGATATGGAAAAAGCAACCCAGGTGGGCTACTGTCTCCCTAAATCTCCTGTCGTGATTTGAATAAAATCATGTGTTTAATGGTGCCTTTCACAGACCAGCAGAATAGCAAAGTACTTTATAAGCACAGGCTTTGACGCAGGCAGCCTGGGATCACATCTGTTCTCTACCACTTACTAGCTGTGTGGCCTTGAACGAGTACCAATCAATGTGAAGTACGTGTAAGTTTCCTTGTCTGTAAAACGGGAATTAGGATGGCCTATTGCTGTCCTAATGAGTTAACTGCATATTGCTTAGAGTTGTTAGGAAGATTAAATATGTAATGTTTTCCAGGAAATTTCTATCTACTGTAAGAGAAAACATATTTTTCTGATAAATATGCAACTGACCCTTGGTTAGGGATATAGGCAGTGGTAGGGATTGTAGCCAAGTTGAGAGTGTATATTCCCTCCAAATAGGGTGGCTTACTCCACAACTATAACATTGGCGGTCCCAGTGTTGCCAGGTCTGATTTTTTTCACAGGAAACCTGGATTTTTATGTGAAAGTGCCTTAGTTTTATACATTGGCTTGTTTTTTTTTTAATACTATGCAGGATAAATTAAAACACAGCTGTGGCCAGGATGTGGCCTGCAGTTTGCCAGTTTGTAACCTTTAATAAGTGCCCAAAGAGTGCTAGGAAAAACCCTGGTCATCCAATTTAGCTCTCTCAACAACTCCATTTTACAGATATGGAAACTGAGACCGAGGCTAAGAGAGGTGAGATGACTTCCCCCATGTTACATGGCTGGATTATATTAGAGTCAGGATTTTAACTCAGGTCTTTGGACTCCCAGTCTGGTGCTCTTTTTGCTAAGCTACAGGAATCCTTCTGGAAGATCACAGCCTTGACGCTAAGCTGCCTGGAACTGTCTAGAAGCCTCGTGGCAACTCAGGGACTGGAGACACAGCTCTCCTCACCTCTTTCCCACATATTTTCCTACAGTGAGGAAAGAAAAAGACCCTCTCACATTGTTATATATTGTTTTATACTCAGTACCTGTTTTAAGAAAAAAACAAGGAAGTAAAACCAAAGACATGCAGCCCGGCACCAGGCCGGAAACCAGGCCTGGGCCTGCCTGGCCTAAACCCGGTAGTTAAAAATCAACTCATAACTTAGAAACCGATGTTATTCACAGATTCCAGACATTGTATAGAAGAACATAGTGAAACTCCCTGCCCTGTTCTGTTTCTCTGTGACCACCGGTGCATGCAGCCCCTGTCAGGTACCCCCTGCTTGCTCAAATCAATCACAGCCCTTTCATGTGAAATCTTTAGTGTTGTGAGCCCTTAAAAGTGACAGAAATTGTGCACTTGGGGAGCTTGGATTTTAAGGCAGTAGCTTGCCGATGCTCCCAGCTGAATAAAGCCCTTCCTTCTACAACTCGGTGTCTGGGAGGTTTTGTCTGCGGCTCGTCCTGCTACAACAGTACTTGCAGACAACAGTGGTTCGAGGTCATCCACAGACCCTCAACCTATGTGCCTACCTGTAACACCCGCAGCTCAACAGTGGCTCAGGACAGAGTGTCGGGGGGTGAAGCGGGCTGGTGATTCAGAGCTTCCAGGCACCAGAACTGTCTCAGCAGTTCTTCTCGCCCCATGCCTGCCAGCTTTGCGCACTTTCCCTGAGTTAGAATCACAAAATGTCTTTTAGTTGCAAAGCATCATAAAAGGATACAGGACAAAATAATCCTCAATACAATATAATGATAACATATAATCTCCTTTGCATTTAAACACTTGAGCTTTAGCACATTTTAAGCCAAAAATGGGTGGTTGTTTATTTTTAACAAAACAAGATTAGCAAATGAAAATACACTATCATTCTTATTAGGAAGAGCTGAGCATCACTGGGCTGGGGAACTCCTCTGGGGAGCCTGATATGTCTTTCAAAATCTCGCATTGGGCCCCAATTCTCAACCTTCATTTCCTTCACTTTAAATTCTGGTGCAAAGCAGCCCAGCCCTCCTGTCAGCATTTCCCGGCTCTGACAAGCTCTCTGCCCATCAGGAACTCCTCTCCGCTCCATTCTAAGAACCTCGTTAGGGGTGACTAGGATGTGTAACGCTGGCAAATCGCTTCTGAAAACACGTTTCCCACTTTGGCAGGAGAGGGAACGGGGACTATCCTGCTGGGGGAATGGCATGGCTTATCAGCTTTAGCCTCTACTCCATGTTCTTTACTGGGGTTTTCGTAATTTATTTTCCCTCCATTGCTTCCTCTCAAAGGTATTTGCATTTAAACAAGAGTTTGCTCCCCCGCTGATTATTTTCCCCTTCTTTGATTTCATTGCTAAGGCAGTCACAGTTGCTGGCATGTTGATGGCTGGATGGGCTCCATGGCAACAGCCAAGGAGTTGAATGGTGTGAACTTCACCTCCTTCCTTTTGCAGATACTATTGGCAGGGTAGGCACATTTAGGAGAAATTTCAAGGAAGTGAAAACGGAACTATTTGTCACCTCTGGGCTTCCTGGGCTTGTTTCGGAAACCTCTGGCTGGATTGAAATTCCTCAGAGAGGAGAAATCCCTGTGAGTGATGTTTCAAAGCCAGATGCACATGGTTCTTCTATCTGGGGAGAATGGTACAAGAAACAGGAAGAACAAGGTTCTAGGGTCGTTGCTGTCACCAACCAGTGGCATGACCTTGAGCAGACAGGTGATCTCTGGTTAACTTGGGTGCTTTGCACACTGCTGAGTGAGCTCCCTGAGGGGCTTGGTTTACCTTGCATTCTAGCAGAGGAGTTAGCATACTAAACATACAAGCTTTGTCGTCAAAGCTGGTCCCAAACCCAGGTGCATTATATATAAGGTTTGTGACTTCAGACAAACAACTTGATTGTTTTAAGCTGTGGCTTTCCCAGAGGGTAAAATGGGGCTGTGGCAGATGGAATTGTTCACAATTCTTCAAACCTTCTATCTTCCATGTGATTATGCAGTGCATACATGTGCACAGAAGTAGATTTTCTTATCCAACAGATGTTGGACTTGGCCATGTGACTTGCTTGGGCCAATGGAATGTTATCAACTTGGTACGAGCAGAGGCCATAGTGTGCTTCCAAGGTTTGGTTTGGTTTTTACATCCTATGATCCACCATTGAAAGAAAAGTACTTTATAGTGTCCGGTTGAAGGAGAAAGAGGACACACATGGAAGATGTGATGACTAGAACCCAATCATCAGCTTAGAGATCACCTATGGCTTGAACCCAAACTAGCCTGCAGACGCATGAACTAGAAAATGAAATGCTTTTTATCATAAGCCACTCCGTTTTGGGGGTAGTTTGTTATGTAGTATTGTTGTGGCCATACCTGACTAATATACAGAAGCTACAATAGTGAGGATTAAAAGAAAATATGCAGGCTGGGCATGGTGGCTCACACCTGTAATCATAGCACTATGGGAGGTTGAGGTGGGAGGATCACTTGAGGTCAGGAGTTCAAGACCAGCCTGGGCAACATAGTGAGACCCCATCTCTAAAAAAGATTTAAAAATTAGCCGGGCATGGTGGCATGCCTGTAATCCCAGCTACTTGGGAGTCTGAGGTGGGAAGATCACTGAATTCAAGGTTTTAGTGAGCTATGATTGTGCCTCTGCACTCCAGCCTAGGCAAGAGAGCAAGCTCCTGTCTCTGAAAAAAAAAAAAAAAAGAATAAAAAAGAGACTATGCATGTTACTCAGATGTTGGCAGTCTCCATATGCCACTGCTTTGTTCAGTCTGAATCAGCTCCAAAGCAGGATTTTGTATTTGATCAACTCTCTCTGCCCCCAACGCCCCTTAAGTGTAGTACATGACCTTAAGAAGCAATATAAATTTTACTACAGATTTTACTGAGGAGATAGAGACAGTTTATACCATGCTGTGCACAGCAACTTACATCAACTTCTTTATACACATCTCTGTTTCCCTTCAAAGACTATCCTGGACTACCATAGAGTTATTACTCTGTATCTGTTGACAAGCCCCATGCTCCCTCTGAGACCCTCCTCATCACTCTCTGCATTCTCACAGGAAGTTAGCTTTAGCTTGCCCCCTCCAAGCTTGTGTCCTATGTCCATCACTTAATGTCTTGAGGTACAGTACACCCGAGTCCCACAGCAAACGAGACTTCAGTTGTCCAGATCCATCCCATGAAATGGTGTAGCAGGTAGCAGACATTATTCTTGCCTGAAGACCTCATGCAGCCTACAGATGGTCCGGACAGAAATGCCAAGTGTTGACTCTGTTGGGTGATGGAGGGAAGTTGGTCGATAAGTACCTGATATGGTTTGGCTGTGTCCCCACCCAAATCTCATCTTGAATTATTGCTCCCATAAACCCCACATGTCCTGGGAGAGACCCCGTGGGAGGTAATTGAATCACGGGGGCAGGTTTTCCCATGCTGTTCTCGTGATAGGGAATAAGTCTTACAAGATCTGATGGTTTTATAAAGGGCAGTTCCCCTGCACATGCTCTCTTGCCTGCCACCATGTAAGATGTGCCTTTGCTCCTTCTTTGCCTTCCACCACGATTGTGAGGCCTCCCCAGCCATGTGAAACTGTGAGTCTATTAAACCTCTTTTACTTTATAAATAACCCAGTCTCAGGTATTTCTTCATAACAGTATGAAAATGGACTAATATAGTACCTTAGCTTCCTTTTCCTTGGGTGGGGCAACTCTGAGGCATATTCTACACTGTGTACTTGAGGACCCAGAAGATTTGAACTCCAGGTACTCACAGCAGTCACCCTCTCACCATCTAAAAACAAACAAACAGTATTGGTAATATACCCAATACTGGCTCCTTTCCCTTTCCTGTCTTTCTTTTTTTTTTTTTTTTTTGAGACGAAGTCTCGCTCTGTCGCCCAGGCTGGAGTGCAGTGGTGCGATCTCGGCTCACTGCAAACTCCGCCTCCCAGGTTTACACCGTTCTCCTGCCTCAGCCTCCCGAGTAGCTGGGACTACAGGCGCCCACCACCTCGCCCGGCTAGTTTTTTGTATTTT